GGCACCGTTGTCTGGTGTTGACAAGGTTATGAGGGTGCCAGCACAGGGCACTGTCACCACACGGAGGAGGGAGTCCCAAACGGCCCCAGGGACTCAGGGAACACGCCCCAGGGGAGCTGTGAGCCGGTGAACACCGTGCCCTGAGAGGACTGGCCCCAGCTAGGGACCCAGGGGAGGAGCAGGTTTGGAAGGAAGCTTCTGGGCCTCCATCGGCCATGATGGCGGTGAGGGCCGTGGGGATGGGCCGACGGAGAGAAAAGTGGCAAAAGAGGGAGAGTGTTTGAGGGACGCCCCTCTGTGCAGAGCTTCAAACGCCAGCATGAGAGGCTGGAAGTTAGTCCTGGAAACACTAGGGAGCCATGAGAGGACCGGGAGTAGGGGGACAGACAGGGTCAAGCTTGTGAGGGGCCCCAGTCTGATGATAGAGTGATAATGGCTGGAAGTCAGGGCAGCGTGGGGGGCCAGAGAGTGCCTGGTTCAGCCCAGGAGTGGGAATCAAACATCTTCCCAGAGGGCTGGACATTGAAGCCATTGAATTCAATGAAGACATTGAATTCAATGAAGACATTGAATTCAATGAAGACATTGAATTCAATGAAGACATTGAAGGGCTGGCAGGAGTCGGTTCCTGTGACGGTAGCTTGGGGAAAGGTGAGCAGCACGCAGTCCCAAATTGCGTTGGAGCATCGAGTGGGATTTGGGGTGGGGAGGTGGGTGTGGCTGGGTTCTGTCCTGGGTGCTGGGGAGCCACAGAAGGGTGTTGAGCAGAGGACAAGCAGGTCCGCTCTGGGGCGAGAGACTGGAGGCTGGGAGGCCAGGGAGGAGGCTGGGGCAAGGGTCCAGACGGAGAGGACAAGGCCACAAGGCCTGAGCTAGGGTCATGGGGCAGACAGGAGGCAAGGAGGCGACCCTGTCTCCTTGAGCAGGAGGTAGGCCCTCTCTGATCTCTGTTGCTTACACCCCAGGCCCCCATTTTCCCAGCCCCAACCTCCAGTTCATGAAACAGGTTGGAGCCAGCACTGCTCTGGTC